ACCATTAACTGCGGAACGCAGGTATATGTAGTGATGAGTAACAAATAGGACGAAATGTGCATCCTGGATTCCACTGCTAGTCATCATACATCAATTAACTTGAAATCAGTTCTGTATGCTTGGTGAGCGAGTCATGAAAAGCATTTCCACTTGGCTTCAAAGTTTTAGCACTAGCAGTCTTCACTTGATACTGAAAATCACATGTCCGATCAGAGAGGATTTGCAAATAAGAGCTCTGGGATCTAACCAACCAAGAACCTACTACCCAGCAAATATGTCAGAGGAAATACAAACGGATCTTAAATACTCTGAGACCCACCGAGTTGTATAGCACGCGAGTTGAACCCACATGACAGATAATGAGTTGGACGTTTATGAATGACTTTGAACAGATAATTTGAGGAGGAAATGGCAGCTTATGGGCAATCGTGCTGCCAGTTAAAGAGGAGTGTAGAAAACAAATGGAGATGTATTGTTGAAACTCTGTGTTCCACTCAGAAACAGAGGGGATAATAACTATTAATTGCCTTAGTGATACATTGTTAGCCATACTAATTTCCAGTGTTATGCATTCCTTTGTGTAGATTTCATTTTTAATCTTTCATGCAATTTAGCATATTGCTCTACAATTCAAATTCATCCAGATAATTCTATCCAACTTATAGTTCACTGAAAATCTTATTTTTTCTAACATCCTTAGTTACATCCTGGATACTTTCAAGTATAAAGGCAACATTACCCTCCTACCATGAATTTACTTAGTTTTCTTCACTTACGGTTTGTAACGTCATTTTTCCGTTTACATAGAAAGGCATGAAATGAGGTGTTTTGTGCGCAATCATACACTACCATAAGTATTTTGCATCAATGTAGTCTGACTGATGGCTAATGTAGTCGTATTTATTCAAGTGATTGTAGTCACGTGACGTAAACACTATCGACATAAAAGTTAGCTATGTCTAATGTCTTTATATTTGATAAGCTAACGGTGAATGAGTACATGATAAAATATTGATTGTAGATTATATTTTATGATAATTATTCAAGTTTTTTTGGTGTGAGGCTATACAGAAGTGACTATAACGTATTAACACACGAAGTGGATGATTGTTATCGTCCCGTGGATGAACAGTTTTTAAAATATCTCAAATATACAGTTACTTGTCAGCATTTGTCTCTAGCATCTGTTCCCTGCAACCACCCTGTTTAAAATCTATGTGTCCTGAAATATTCCAAGCGTGCTTTAAAATCTGTTGTCGCAAATATATGTTTGAACACCTGTGAACGGTTTACTGAGAAATCAGTCTTCTAAAATACAACATTTTAATTATGCCGAAGATATCTTACAAATAAATGATGAATGACAGTGTATTAGTGATGTGAATATGACATTCATCTGAGAACATTATTATTATTATTAGTTCCTTTAATTCCTAGAAGAACATAGGGCTTCAGCTGCGCATCTCCATTGCCTTCGGTTCTCTGCTAGAGTTTTCACCCCGCTCCAAGTCTGCCCACATGCTTTCATCTCCTCTTCACATGACTTCCTCCAAGTCACCCTTGGACGACCAACTAGCCGCTTCCCTTTCGGGTTCCACTCGAGCAATGGCTTGTATAGCGATGTCACTTGATGGTTTCCTCAGCGTATGGCCAATCCATCTAGCTCCATTTCTTCCTGCCTATTTGTTTCACAATCGGTTTCTGGTTGGTTTGCTCCCAGAGATCCCTGTTGCTGATCTTTTCTGGCCGGCCATCTGATCTTGAGCGGAGTATTGAGCAAAGACAGCTGTTGATGAAGGTCTGTAGTTTGTTTGAGATGCTCTTTATGACTCGCCAAGTCTCTCATCCTGCAGTGAGTAGCACTGACTTTACATCGGAGTTGAAAATTCGGATCTTATTTTTGATTCTGAGTGATGTTGACCCCCACAAAGACTTGAGAGTAATGAAAGCTTGTCTTGCTTTTCCAATCTTTGCTTTGATATTCTCGTCAGTTCCGCCTGTAGTAGGCAAAGGAGGTTGTTTCTTTCAGGTTCCTTCCATATTTTGGTTACAAGATTTCATCAAGAGGTGACGTTGGTTAGAGAACCATTGGAAAATCTGGGATTACTGGACAGCTGTTTCGTCCTAGTTTGGGACTCTTCATCGGTACGCACCCTCCGGGGTTCGAACCCATTATTTGTGTGTAACGTGACAAATTGGTTCCGAGTAATTTGGTCATATATCCTTACACCTAGATTGTGATAGGGAGATATATGTGACTTATGTGACGTGCGTCAGTGGTTTGGTGGTGGGACGCTAGCCAAACATGCAAGTAGTCCAGAGTTCAATCTTTGGTCGACGTATTCATTAACCTTGGTTATTCAGTAGTAAAACCTGTAAAGATGGAAGGTAGAGCGTGAGGTTAGCAATCTCATCCCGTCAAAATACACCACCGCTACTGATTCTTCAGAGCTCTAGCTTGAAGTCTTATATTCCACTGGGAAAGCAAAAGAATAAAAGAAAATATACGTGACTTCACAGACAAAAGATAATATTGATTTTTAGACCGGAACAAAGATAGTGAAATAATATTTACTACCAGTTAACAGACCAACGCCATATAACTAATTAAAAGAATATCAAACAAAACGTTTAACGCTCACTTAATCCGCATAACTTCTCAAGGGAATTGTTCACAAAAGGTAATATAAAACGAATACATTCATATCAGCTGTTGTTCTAGGGATTTAATATTCCGTACTCGGGAACTCCTGGAAGTGTCGCTAAATGCATATGTAAAATGTCCAGTTCGCAAAGATCCTGGACCTATCGCTGATTTCAGAAGAAGACAGCCTAATATGCAGAATACTACAGGCAGTAACAGACACAAAACAACAGAAAACGGTTCAGGAATACGATTTTTTTATTCTTAAATCGATAAAGAAACAGAATTACAAATATTAATTACCAAGTGCACAGTCTGTAAATAAATGTTAATATAATGCACAATAATACTTCTGGTTGTATATCTCCAATCTTCTGCCAACCAGTATATACGATTAAGCAATGATAGCCTCCTTACCTCCCACCAAGTGCAGATCACTTCAAATTAACAAACAACTCAGTGTTAACCAGCATTGACAAAAGATGTAATTAAAATCACTAGCCATTTGATATTGGAGTATCTGGTTCAAACAGGTCATAAAGTCAGCACGGGGAAACCTTTTTCAATTACCTATCGAGTGCGAATTAATTTTTTTCCTAAAAGTCTATAGACTCCGAATAGTGTAAAAAGGCAGAAGCCGTAGGAATTCGCTTAAAACAATCGATTTATCTGATATTCAATTCAGCCTAGTTTTTATGCATATTATCGTATATATATATATATGCCTAGTCCCTTTAATGATTTTAGGAGGAAACACAAAATTCTTCTGGAAAATGTGATGCATTTGACGAATAAATACATTTCGGGAAATCTGATCTACCCGTTAAATTCAGTTTGTATGAATATTGAGGTTTGATTAGTCAATGAGGATAAATAAAATAATAGAGGATTTAAGAGTAATCAGGACAGTAATCACTATCAACGGGAGGGATTTGAAAGAGGTTACTTCATTCACTCCCTTATCTAGGGAGCATTGTCTCAACTACAGACAGTCGGAACGGACGAGGATGTCAAATCGAGCGAGAATCGGGAAGGCGAGAAACACACTCATCAACCTGAAACCAATTTGAGATTCTTCGTCACTCAGAATCAACATCAAAATTCGGATTTTCAATAAAAACATCAAGTCAGTCAGTTCTTCTATATGAATCAGAAACTTGGCAGGGGGGTCACAAAGAATATTTCCAACAGCCTGTTGCAGACGTTACCTTTTTCAACAACTGTCTTCGCTGGCTCTATACTGAAGATCAGATGGCCGGGCCGGAAAGAATCACCAACAAGAAACTATGGCTGGGAAGAAACAAGCAAGACAAGGAGCAATGGCCAGCCAAAAAATATGCAGGAGGTGGAGTGGAGATGGATTGGACACACACACTCGCTGAGGAGACCGCCGCTGGGTGACATCGCGTGTGCGTCAGGCCATTGCTCGAGTGGAACCAGGCCGAAAGAGAAGCGGCGAGTGGGACGTCAGTGAAAGGGCGACATGGAGGAGATAGTGTGACGAGGAGTTGAAACAGTATGAACTAACATGGATGGAGGTGAGACGTGCAGTTGAAGCCGTATGTTCCACTAGGAACCCAAGGGAACAATAATAATAATAATTGATGAACACTAATCTGTCATACTTGGTTGTTTCATGCTAATGATGAAACTTACTAATTTACTCCAGTCACAATTATTTGAATTTAATACCCTTTATATAAAACAGCTTCGTGAGAACAATAATTATGAACAGGTTTTAGTTTACAGACTTTTGACTGGTTACAAGGTTGATGAAGAGTTGATATCACTCCAAGATCGTTTAGAAAACCTAAGAGTATTGTACTGTTACTTAATCCTAGTTTGACTGAAGTTGGAAATCATCGGCCATCGTATGGGGTCCCAGTGGCTGAATGATCTGCAAGTTCATTTTGTAACTGGAAGGTCCTGGGCACCAACAGCTCATAGGCGCCTACCGACGAAGAGTCCCAAACTAGAACAAAACAGCTTTCCAATACTCACAGGTTTTCTAACGATTCTCTGACTGATGTCAGCTAGCGATCAAATCAATAATAATCATAATAAAAGCAATCATATTCAATGTACATGGCTGATGAGACTCCGCATGGTAAAGAGCGACTTGATCACGTTGCCCATTAAACCAATGAAGCCTATCTTCATTGTGTATCATAAATACCCACATAATGACTAGAATCAGGGTAAACTTCAAGCACATAAAGAGGTACGATATAGATACAGAAAGGTATCTTTGTATTACATGGTAAAACAAACAAAAACAAATTAGGTTAAACAATCTGAATATCAACATTTATCGATTTAGAAAACAAAAAAGGGGGGTGAATAGTTACTGTGTCATTTAGGCAATTTCATGTGCAGTATATAAATAAACTGAACCCTTATCATCTAAAATATTTCCCAGTACAGGATCATAACGTATATATTTAATATCTACTTCCCATGCTTTCTGATCATTTTCATAAGGATATGAGGCATATTGATGATGTTGTTGGTGATAATGATGGTCATCATGGTGATGATAATAATAATACTCAGTGTCTGTTTGACAGTTTTTATGATGACTTTTAATTTCATTTTCTCTTGTCTTTTTATTCAGTTTTACTTTATGTCCTTTATTACCACAATTACAATTATGTGATGTACTTTGTTGGGTTTCAAGTGTTTGTACATTATTGTCATCATCTAAATTGGTATAGGTATGATGTGATCTTTGCTTATCTCCATGCCCCCCTTGACAATTGTTACTATTATTATTATTATATACTTTTCGTATTTTATATGTATTATTTCCTGAATGTTGTTCATTCACATCATTTAAATAAGTGCTTTTATCGATTGATTTCAATGAATTCATTGATTTTTTATTCATTTTAGTTGGATTAAATTGATCAACTTCATCTTTTAACGAATATTTCCATATTAATAATTGTGAATGAATTAACTGAATTAATTTTTCAATATCCGAGAAGTTTTTTGCTGACATAACAACATATTGTTTTTCAGCGAAATCTTCATCACATATCCCAATAGCAAATCTTAAATTCTCTTGATTAAATGTAATAAATTTTTGTATTGATTTATAGTCAATTGAATTAATACTACGATATGGCCACCATGATGCATTTTTCAATATGACTGATGTATACGTGAGGATAAGTTTTGTTTTAATACGCCTTCTTGGTTCTTTCCATGGACTAGAAAAGTGTTGTTCAAGACGATATTGAAATACTGGTGTTGAGTATTTATCAGTTATGCGTAATTCAACGTAATGTTCTAATCGGACAGTAATGCATAATAAGGGGTTGACGGGGTTCCCTGATCGTCTACTCATCATTAGAGTGAGGGAAAGATAAGTAATGGTAATAATAATAAGAAGAATAAATATGTTATGACATCAAGTGAAACAAACAGTGGTAGTTAGCTCACTAATCGATCAATTAATGTTCATTATTCGTTTTCCTTTTTCTCTGATTTTTACATTTTATTTAACCATAAAGTTTTCTGCTAATAATAATAATTATGTCACTAGCTGTAATCGACACAAATGATCATATACTCAAAAATGGTGGGAACGGCTTATATACTCAACATTAGGTGCAAAGTTCTGATCAAAATGGCGGCAAACAGCAAGCAAGCATACAAAAAAAAATTAACAATAATGATTCGAAGCATAAAACAAAACGAAAAATAATCAATCTAAGTGTAAATGTGTAGATTGTAGGGTATCATAATGTGCCACTTTCGTTGTTGTCTTTGTGAATAACCAATGAGCAGCGAATTCTAGAGAGAGAGAGAGAGAGAAAAGACGTTTCATATTTCTCTCGAAAACGAATAAATAAAGTCCAAAAAGGTGTAACCAACGATTGGACATATCTAAGTGATCATTAGATTGATATGTAGGACATGAATAGGTGGAGAGAGGGGCCAGTGTGTGTGTGTGTATGTAATGAAGAGAAGAGTTCTGATGTGATTTGTGCTTACTAAATATCGATTTCATGTGTGAAGTGTAAACTAATTGGTTATTTGGTTGATGCCACTTTTGTAGAAAAACAAAATGGAATAAAGTTAGCATACAACTTATGATTGGCAATGATATTTGAAAAAAAAGGTCTTTTGAAGACAGAACACCTGAAAATAACTCAAGAGGACAAATGATAATAAATGTTTTGTATATCTTGTTGCAGGGCGAACAGAGGTGTATAGCGGCTGAAGGTGACTAGCATTTGGTTTCCAGAATGTGAATTTCATCATATTTAGGATTCTTCATCTGAATGCACCTGTCAGCAGAGATTGAGCATTTCAGTTCGACATAGTTAATCGACCGGAAATGTAAATTAACCTAAACGCAAATGATAACTGGCACTCACTGCACAAGGCATGGCTCCCGTGGCCTTAATGGCCTATTGGATAATGCTGAAGTGCTTGAAACGATTGATTCGGGGCTCAAGTCTCCGGTGGGAGTGCAGTAACATACTGGTGATGAGTCCCAGGTAGGCCGAAACGTGCAGCTTATATTCATTCCATCACCGATCATCATCCACCAAAATAATATCACGTCGAACATCAGACATAGTCCGAACGTCCTCACTAGGAGCATTTCAGACCAGGTTAATCAATCGACAGGTTATACAAATTAAACTAACCTGGTGTATTCCAGGTGAAGTTAACCTTTGAGTACCGAAAGGAGAGTGGCCGCACCACTGAAGCTGGGACGTTTAGTCAGCTAGTTGGGGAGATTAGGCAAATACCACTATAATCATCTGTAGAATATACTGAGTGAAGTGCTATGAAACTAAACGGGATATCTGGTGAGTCTTTAGGTTAGATTTGGTTCGTCGGTGGCTTAGCCGTAGAATATTCACCAACCACGCTTGTGGTCTGGGATCGATCACCTGCTATACCTTGCTAAGGCGGTAATAAGACCAGTTAAGAGGGAGGTTAAGCGTGAGGCTAGCAACCACACCCCTTAAAAATAAACACGACTGCTACCGAAACTTCAAAGGTCTAGCCTGAAGCCCCATGTTCCACTGGGAATGTTAAGGAATAAAATAAATATAACAAAAAAGTCGTAGCTTGAGCTAAGGACAGGTTAGGATTAGGCCAATATGATAAGAGAGATATCAGGATTAGTTGGAGTTAGATTACAGTCAGTTTAGGGATAGTTTTGCATTAGGGTTATGGTTAGAAGATCCAGATAGATGCATGTGTGGAGTGTGGTTTAATTTCTCTGTTGACACCCAATGCAAAACTGGGTAATTTAGACACACATGAACAAAGTTATCCTGTGTAACAGTTTCATGCCTATTAGTCATTATTTTCATAAATAAATATATTTTATACATAAAACTCGCTACTTCCATATGACTGGTGCGCTCAAGGTTATTTATGCATTGCTGTTTTTTGGTGCTTAACGTTTAACTTCACAGTACTCAGTTTATTTATCTGCTAAAAAGAATAGTCAATGTTTCAGCTGTTATCCACACCTGCCACTTATTATTATTATTGTTCCCTTGGGTTCCTGGTGGAATATACGGCTTCAACTGCACGTCTCCACTTCCATCTTCTGCACTTTTCACCTGCATCCATGTTAGCACATACTGTTTCAACTCCTCTTCACACGATCCTCTCCATGTCACCCTTGCACCAACGTCCCACTTGCCGATTCCCTTTCGGCCTGGTTCCACTCGAGCAAAGACCTGACGCGTGCGCGATGTCACCCAGCGGCATCCTCAGTGAGTGTGAGTGTCCAATCCATCTCCACTTTCTCCTGCCACTTATTATTGATTGCGTACTGTAGTGTTATTAGTGCTCTTGAAACTTATTTTAATTCCTCTGCCTTCTAATTGAGTCGTGGGAGTTGCTAGTCTCACGTCTAACCTTTCCTCTTTTTTTGAATTTACTACCAATCAGTATAGGGACCGAGGTTTAGAAATGTATCTGCCAAGAATCGAAACAGGGCCTCCCACGTGCTAATCGAGAATTCTATCATTGAATCACCAGCTCGCCCTGAAATCATACTTCTGAGGATGAGTTCTGAGATTTGTCAGCCAAATCCTAATAGAACTGAAAACCTCTGGGAGCTGTAAGTACCATATATGAGAAGTGAGACCTATTCTACATTCAACATTTACTGGGAGGCAGTCAGTGTAATGCAACCGAAGTTCCAAGGCCTAACTGTAATTTCATTAAATCAGTTAGGTGTAACTTAATACGAAGATTCAGTATGGATAAAACATCTGAGCTTTTTTCCAAATAAGTCTGTCTACTAGTCAAATTCATTTCACATATTATCTTTGCAAAAATAGTCTGGATCAGTCAAACAGTGCTGATAAACAAAGTTGTTTAAGATGAAGAGGAGAGCTGCGTAGAAACAACGATGATGTTAACTAGGATAAAGACTGGTTATCAATGGTTGGCCTGAGAAATTTGGGCTACCGATATCACATGTTGAAAATTCCATACTTCTACCGAAAATACGGTGTGGAACCAAGCTATAATAAAACAGAATCATGACATTTAACTAGCAGACTGTCTATATACGTTAAAGATTCTTAAAACAGCCTATGAAAAAGGCAAAAACCTCAATAACAAAACATCCTGTGGACTATGGACATAATATCGACGCTGTCAAGTCATTCACTATCGTCAGCTACCAGTTCTGCAGCCACCTCTCAGTATCAGCCACCATTTTTTTAAAGCAAAAATGTAAATAAATAATGATAGTAGTGATAGCTATAATAATAATATTCATGACGACGTGCATGTCAAATATGTTCAAGACAACACCAACAATAAGGAATCTAAATCATCATTAGTAATTCCAGACAAGGAAAGAACCTCGGAAACTTTACGCAGAATTCCTAACAACACAGGGAAGAATAAAAGTGGCTGGCATTCAAATCAACCACAAACTCAATTAGAAACAAACTCTGTCGGTTAAAGGATCCTGTGGAGCCTTTAAAACAAAACAATTCAGTTTATCTAATACCCTGCTAGAATGATTGTCAGGTCAAATACATAGGTCAAACTAGTAGAACAGGGGCAGTCAGACTAGCCAAACATAACCTAGCAAAATCTAGATTGGTTGACCCGAATAAAATAAAAAATCTAGAGAATAGTTCAGCTATACCACTCACTACATGCATTTACACACAACCATACAATAGGCTGGATGGGATAGGATGACAGTTTTAAAATCTAATGTCACAGGGTGGAGGGAGAGATTGATAACAGAAGTTTTGTTTGTCGAATCAACTGCAAATACATGTAATAGGAATGATTCAACACCTATCCCAGATATCTGGAAAATTCTACTACTCCTACGACAAATAGGAGAGGACAAAGAAAATTATAAAACTCAAGTCCCAAAGTCATGTGATTACAATTGATATGATTATGAACAATAAATTTTGTTCGAAACGTCATCCAGTAAATAATAATACTGTTTCTTTACTGTGTGAGTTTGATATGTATTACCGATATGTCAATGATACATTTATCTTGGCTGATAAGAATGTAAACATAGACGATTGTTGCTGAAATTCAACAACGTCCACCCTTCGTTTATTTTTACTTGTTAAGAGGAGCAGGATAATGAACTTCATTTCCTGGATGTCTTGCTAAGTAGGCGAGAAGATGGGTCACTTGGGAGAAGCGTGTTTAGAGAAAGCACATTCACAGGGCAATACACACACTTACGTGCCCATTAAATATAAAAGAAATATCGTTAAATGTCTTACGAGCAGAGCAAGAATGATATGTATGGATGACCTCTTACAAAAGGAATTTGAATATATTCACGATTCCTTGAAAGAGATGGGCTGTCCAAGTAGTTTCATAAAGAAACATGAAAACATCAGAGAGAAAACATGAAACTATGACTGCATGTAAAAAACCTCTATTTATTAAGTTACAATTTAATGGTGACTTATCAAGTGAGGTTTTATTCCAGAGATTTTCTAGGAGTATACGAAGAACATTTTCTGCAGCAAACCTATTTTTGTCATTCTCTAGCTGACAAATGATTGGGACGCAAACGAAGGGTAAGCTACGTAGTCCTGCCACGTCTATGTGCATTTATCAATTCAACTGCACCTTCGGTGACAGTTATGTCGGACATACTACTAGACAGGTTAGCCAAAGTGTTAGTGAACATCTCCCATCATGGTTTGTCAAAGGACAGAAAAAACAACCCATAGCTCAAATTCGTCATATCTAGTTGATAGTGGTGATGTAGTAGAGAAAACGGGAGCTTACAAAGTAATCCATCGTATCCCACTGAATCTTTGCAATTGACTTCTTATTCGTCTACTGCACACAGCTGAGGTGATAGGC